CCAGTCATGAAGAGCCCTAGGTCTGACAATCTCGTCGCTGTCCCTCTGCTCCCCTCAAACCATGTCCTGACCCTCCCCCCTCCCCCCTCCACAGGCCTCCTGCATGGTTCGCCCAGGCAGAGGTCCAAACTCCTGCGCAGCAATGAAAAGGGCTTTCGGCAGGCGTCAAGGATTTGTTTTGACCCTGACATCCTAGCTGGCATCCAATGAACTGGACTTTGGGCTGGACAATGATCGACACCGTGGTACGAGTCCTTCTCAAGCTTGACTGCTTGCCCAAGCTCTCGTAGGGAGAACATAACAGCGAATGCCCTCACTCCCCAGGCAAGCGTTGCAGTGCTTCCGCTGCGAGCTTCAAACGCAAGAAGAGATCCGTTCGGACCGGGCACGCGCTCCTGCCCCACGCTATCCAGGTACAGCCAGGCGAGCCTTAGGCGGCAAGCAAGCACGACGCGGCTGTCTGCATCTGGGCAGATGCAGAAGCACCTAGTGCATTTGTCACCCCAATACAGCAGACCCTTGGAGCCTTTTTCGGGACCCCTGAGACAAGCTCGAAACCCAAGACTTGCAAGCGTCGTTTTGAAACTTGAGTGTCAGCCGGGTACCCAAGCCATGACGAGTCTCCTTGAGTTTCCAATTTCAGCAACATTTGGAGTGTCCCCAAGCCATGAAGCAACCTCTGGTTTTCGCTGGGAGCCTCCACTCGTGGAGCTTGCGGCCAAAATCGTCCGCCCTGCCGGCTGCATCTTTTGCTGACCTGGAGCATGGCACGCATCGACATGCATGTGCATCTTCTGAATCGGACTGTTGAACCAGAAAATGCCTATCATGGCATCTGCTTTTAAGGGGAAGGTCAGGGTCAACGGTAACTGCGCTAAAAGTCGGAAAGCGCAGCGTGCAACTCCTGCAGATTGCCGCATGCCGCATTGCTTGTTCACCATGGATGAACCGGCCAGAGTGTCAACTCACTTCTTTTCGCCGGAAACAAAAGCCTTGGAACATGGCCGCCAGCTCTTCGGGCTAGCTTGCTGGACATGGCCTTTGAGTTGCAACTGCAACATGGCCACGGATAGCCAGACAGACATATTGCAAAATCAGCCGACGAGTGTGAGTTTACTTGACCTTGGTGGATAAGGGCGGCAAACAAAGCCAACCGAACGAACAGGACAGCTGCCTCCCGATTGGCCAACAAAAATACGATGGCAAGCACCTTCATGCCAAAGGAATCGACCCTTCCCCCATTCCCTCGGAGCCCCCGCAGGCATCGATACTGAGCTGGCTTGTGAGCACAGCGCATCTGGCGAAATCGGCGAGATCGGCGCAGGTGAAATGCGACACCTGGCATCTGTACATGTTCTTTCATCGGAGTTTTGCCTAAGGCCACTGTCAGGTTCCGCATTTTAGCATAGTGTTGCCGATGGGCTTTGTTTCTGAAGGGCTCGCGTGCCGCTCGTCTTGAACCACTCGTCTTGAACCACTGTTTTTCTTGCATGGAAACGGTTGGTGAACTGGGCCGAGCTCCGCCGAAAGACATCAGTTGTTCAAAGGGACAAGCCCGAGCCATCCGTTTTCCCATTCCCAAGGTCGTCAAGCTGGCGTCTCCAGCGCCGAAATCTGCGTCAACGGCACGCTGGACCCGATTCTGGGCCCCCACACCAGGCAATGCGAGCTCTTGCCGGGGGGCGCAAAGCGAAGTTCCGTCCCAAGCTGTGGATGGGCGTTGGCTGGGCTGTCGGGGCTACCCCCGGCTAGGTGTATGAGTGGGGGTGCTGTGATTGATCTCGCGCCGATTGTGAAAACTTGCAACAAAAAGATGGAACCCTCATGACTATCCGCGCCCACTTGAGCTGCAGGCAGCAGGTGGCCAAGCTCCCACGACAGCAGCCCCGCACCAAAAAGCAAGTGCCTGACGATCCTAATATTGCTAAGGGTCCCTGAGAACCTGGCATAGACAAGCCTACAACCTGGCAATGCCGGATTCAAACCAAATGCCTCCAACCAAACATCTCCAAGAAAACAGGCAGGCCATGTGGTCCAAGACGTGCCATTGCAAGGTAGTCAGTCATGCAGTGGGCACGCATGCGACAAATTCTGGCAAACGTGCGATCCAAAGCTCAATTTTCAACTCGTGCAAAAAGGCCACAACGACAACTCGAATTGAGAACAAGTACAAGAAGAAAAAAAACAACATGACGAGGAGTGAGTCCCATCAGGGCTCTCCTTGTCTGGGCATGCATTGCAAATCAATTCTGTCAATTTGGTGTTCCACACCGAACTCTGGGTGGAAGCCTGCACAATCATAGCCGGAAGTCATGACAGCACGTGGTTGAAGGAGAAAAAAAAAACTTGCACCCAGCACTCTCCGTGTTGGGGCTGCTAAAGGTTGGTGATTCCTTCGAACGCAGCATGGCTTCGACTGTCTGTGAGAAGACATCGCGGCCTCTGACTCAGTGATCCAAGCGCCTGGGACATGGACTGGGCTGATTCACCGGGCTATTGCAGCACAAATGTTTGCAGGTCAATGTCTGCCACGCCCAAAAAGGTCTGCATGCAAATCGCATGCCCTTCACTCAGCACACACCACACACGCACCCGCACCCGCACCCGCACCCGCACATGCGCATGCACATGCGCACATACACACACAGAGCAAGTAACAACCCCCTTCCCACCTGCTCACAGCGCCGCATCCCGCGCCCGGCGCAGGGGCAGCGGCCTCTTGGCGTGGCAGGTCGAGACACCTGCTTTGGTGAGTCGGGGATGGTGTAGACACCAGCAATAGAAACCCTCAGCTTGCCCTCAACTTGCGGCAAACCTGAACAAGCAGAACAGCCTGAAAGCATCTGGCTATTGCCACGGGCTGTGAGCATGGGCTCAGGCCACCGCGCGTCCCGGGCGAAGTGCAGGTAGTGCCAACCAGGAGGCCCACGCAGGCTCTCCTGCCAGCCTGCCAGTGGTCACATCCGACTGATTGGTGTGCGTTTTCTGAGGGTTCCCCTTTCAAGTTGCATCCCCTTGTTGGGGTTCCATTCTTTTGACACACCTCTTTCAGGCAGGTTTTTGTGGGGAACTGGTTTGACTGGCGTTCCTAGTCAAGGCCAAACGGCCAAAAGCACGAAGTCTGATGGCAAATGTCTGAGACGCAGGGGGGGGGGGGGCAATCTTTTCAGCATTGCCTGGCCACCAATCTGAAACAAATATGGGGTATTCGATCAGAATCAGTACACAAACAAGGCCCTCACAGTTTACAACGGCGCTCTCTGAACGGTCAGCACACACAAATGAGCGATCCAGTTAGACCAACCAGTGAGCCGATGGCTCAACAAGTTGTGGGCCGCAAGAAGCTGAAGCTGAGGCGGCAGGCTCTGTCTTGGCGTCGACCTGCCCAGGTAGCCAGAGTTTATGGCAGGCACAGTTGCTGAACTCTTGCCAACTCGTACTGGACCATGGCATAGCAATACGGGCCCGAGCGAACTGCAAACCCTGATGACACTAACTTGTAGCTTGCGACGGAGGGATTAGGGCATGCCCAAGGAGTCGAGCAAAAACGTGCGGACACACACGAAATGAGACCAGCTAGCTTGAAAAGACGTCTCACTGTCGCCCTTCCAAAACTCGTTCTTCTTTAGTGGCTCTTTTCGTGCTTGTGCAATCAGACAGAGAGAGCAGACAATGGATCTCACAGAGAGAGTTCCAGGTGCAAAGAGGGGGCAAGCTGGCCAAGGGATTGCTGGAATGGTGCCACGGGACACAGCAGCAGCAACCCTCAGTGATTGTTGACATGCTAACGTGGCTGGCTGGAAAAGACGCACAGTTTGGGGGGTGGGGGGGGTGTGTAGTCAGACTCACATCTGCCTAAGACTGGCTCTTGACCATGTTATTTTCTTAAGGTCTGATATTCATCTTCTGCTTTGGCTTCTCAATCACCTTCCAATGACTGGAGCTCGACCCCTGCCCGGCCTCGGGCTGGCGTCGCCTTGCGTGAAGCTGTTGGATCCATCTCAAGAGGAGCATCTATGACTCTGTTTCCAACAATCTCTACACAACCATCATCTTTCGCCAGCAAGAGGCAGAAATCGGCGAACAAAATGGTGCCACGTGATATATGCGCCGGCCGCAAAGTAAGCGTGTCGATATCCAAAGTAGCCTTGATTGAATCGGCGCCTGGCCGCTACGTCCGAAGCTTGCAAGGCCGCCATTCCACACACATTTCAACTCCCGAAGGAGAGATCTCATCTCTTGAGTACAACCAGCAAGTTTCGAGTGGGCAGGTATTCGGGTGGCGAGACCGATGGCTTTCCTCTAGAATCGAAAACGTTACCAGGACAAACAAGAAGCACACACAGCGACAAAAGAACGGGCGAAAAGGACTTTAAATCACTGATGCAGGTACGTCAATCTCGCATCCGAGATTGATATCACAGGCAAGAGCAAAGGTCTTCGTTGGTGCCAGCCTTGCTCTGCCCCTGGCACCCCCTGCTGAAAAACATAGTCACGACGAGAAAAGTGGTGTCAGGGTGAATCTGACACTCCGCACACACACACACACACCTTCTCTCCCTCCCTCTCTCCCTCCACCCCGCCTTCCAAAGAGCAGCCACAAGACTCGCAATGGTCCCGGTTGTGGGCCAGCAAATCACCTGCCACTCAGCACTTTGCCGTCGCTGGAAGGCTAGAAATAACGCCACGCTCCTTCAGCCAATGGAACCTGTGGGGCAAGAGAGGGATGTCGTAGCCGGGGTTGCCTTTCTACGGCACATTCACTCACATTGCACCTTTGTACTCACCGGCACGCTTTGGCCTTGGCAGCATCTGGAAAATACAAAGGCTGAAACTCCAAACTGCGGTGGGTGCCAAGCTACGTTGTGCCGTTAACTTCATGGATCCTGAAGCCAGAACTCCCGACAGTCTCGAGCGTCAGCTCAGCCCTCGGAAGAACTTTCCAGATGCGCCAAGGTCAGCCGGAGCAAGGCCGAGCATGCAGCTCAAATAGCCGTAACTCACGAGGCAGTGTCATCCGCCTGGCAGGAAAAGGAAAACGAAGACCCTGCCTGCTGACACCGCAGTGAGGCTTAAGGGGCAGTAAAAGGGAACAAATGAAACCAATGCCTTGAAGCTCTGGTTTTGAGATCTGCGGGGAGGGGAAAGAAATGATACTGCTGCCACATCACCTCACCTAAAACCAGATCAAGGCACACATCTCATCAAATACAAGAGAATTGAGAGCCCGATGCCCCGCACACCAAAGTATCAAGACCAGAACCAAGTAGTCAGAAACTGCAATTAAGCTGCTGAAAATAGCACAACTCCACCTCCTTGATTACATTCTAGCCCTCATCTCCAGCGGCCCTACAATGGCAAAGGCATGCTCGAGCCCACACCATCTTGAAGCACTTCCCTCAGGTTTGACGTTCAAAAACGCCTGTTTCGGGTCTTCACGGTACCCTCAAAACGACTCGCCCATGCCTCGTCCAACGTTTCGGACGGCTCATCCTCTGACGTCTGCCCTGGGCGCGCAAGTTTTGGTCGAGGGTCTCCTGTCCTTCCCAAATTCCGGTCCCTGAACTGATAGGTCTAGACTTCAAGGAGGTTTCCCTGAAAATTGTTGGTTTCCCGGAAGGTTTCACTAACTACCGAAGCAGGGTCCGAAACCATTTTGAGAACCTCCTGGCGAGCCCCACTCTTGCATCAGCTCGACACAGAAACAGCGTGCTCGCTTATAAGCCCGGTCTAAAATTTGATGTGGACGCCAACGGTATCACTCAGGCTCGGTCTCATTGGACATCCTCTGAATGAACTACAACCGGGCGTAAACTAAAAAATCCCCATAGGTCGTGGAGCCGGGGGTGACATCCATGGACAATATAGGGGTGCTCAAGCTCGCCTCCCTCCTTTGCCCTCAGCCACGGCACTTGCTTCGCTCTTCGCCTGCACCTTCATTGGGGCCTGGCCAAGGTCTCTGCTGCCGCCACAAACAAAAAGCGTGCCAGTCCATAGTCAGCACAAAGGCAGGGCCACAACAGTTGCAAAAGCCGCAACTTGTCGCTGAAACTGCCTCTTGCTGCAAACGGCGTCCGTCTGCACCCGGTCCCCTGCCTTGTCCTTCTTCGCTTTGGCCGGTTCTGCTGGCTCAGCTTCTGCCTGCTCAGCAGGCTCGTCAGCTTCCGCCGGCTCGGACTCGCCCTCTGCGTCGCCTCGGCTTTTGGCAGACCGGAAGAAGAAAAACACCATTAGGACCAAACACCAAGGATTCCCGCGATCAGTGACACGCTACGACACTCCCAGGCCAAAGAAGTCACAAAAGCCAAGAAAGCAACATAAGACGCGAAAGTCATCGGACTTGCAAAGCCCACTCCAGACCTGCAAGAACTGCAACGAAAAACAATTGGCCGCCTCTGAAACAAGACCTTCTGTGGGAGGTAAGCCGTAACAAAATGGCTTCCTGGTTACCTGCCGGCCCTCCTTTGCCCTCAGCCACGTCACTTGCTTCGCTCTTCGCCTGCACCTTCAGAGTGCTTGGGGCCTGGCCAGGGTCTCTGCTGCCGCCACAATCAAAAAGCGTACCATAGTCCATAGTCAGCACCAAGGCAGGGCCGCAACAGTTGCAAAAGCCGCAACTTGTCGCTGAAACTGCCTCTTGCTGCAAACGGCGTCCGTCTGCACCCGGTCCCCTGCCTTGTCTTTCTTCGCTTTGGCCGGTTCTGCTGGCTCAGCTTCTGCCTGCTGAGCAGGCTCGTCAGCTTCCGCCGGCTCGGACTCGCCCTCTGCTTCGCCTCACCGCAAAAAGGAAAACAACATTAGGACCAAACACCAAGGATCCCCGCGATCAGTGACACGCTACGACACTCCCAGGCCAAAGAAGTCACAAAAGCCAAGAAAGCAACATAAGATGCGAAAGTCATCGGACTTGCAAAGCCCACTCCAGACCTGCAAGAACTGCAACGAAAAACAAAGATAAAAAACCTTGGCCGCCTCTGAAACAAGACCTTCTGTGGGAGGTAAGCCGTAACAAAATGGCTTCCTGGTTACCTGCCGGCCCTCCTTTGCCCTCAGCCACGTCACTTGCTTCGCTCTTCGCCTGCACCTTCAGAGTGCTTGGGGCCTGGCCAGGGTCTCTGCTGCCGCCACAAACAAAAAGCGTACCATAGTCCATAGTCAGCACAAAGGCAGGGCCACAACAGTTGCAAAAGCCGCAACTTGTCGCTGAAACTGCCCTTGCTGCAAATGGCGTCCGTCTGCACCCGGTCCCCTGCCTTGTCCTTCTTCGCTTTGGCCGGTTCTGCTGGCTCAGCTTCTGCCTGCTCAGCAGGCTCGTCAGCTTCCGCCGGCTCGGACTCGCCCTCTGTGTCGCCTCACCGGAAGAAGGAAAACGACATTAGGACCAAACACCAAGGATCCCCGCGATCAGTGACACGCTACGACACTCCCAGGCCAAAGAAGTCACAAAAGCCAAGAAAGCAACATAAGATGCGAAAGTCATCGGACTTGCAAAGCCCACTCCAGACCTGCAAGAACTGCAACGAAAAACAAAGCTAAAAAGCCTTGGCCGCCTCTGAAACAAGACCTTCTGTGGGAGGTAAGCCGTAACAAAATGGCTTCCTGGTTACCTGCCGGCCCTCCTTTGCCCTCAGCCACGTCACTTGCTTCGCTCTTCGCCTGCACCTTCAGAGTGCTTGGGGCCTGGCCAGGGTCTCTGCTGCCGCCACAATCAAAAAGCGTGCCATAGTCCATAGTCAGCACAAAGGCAGGGCCACAACAGTTGCAAAAGCCGCAACTTGTCGCTGAAGCTGCCTCTTGCTGCAAACGGCGTCCGTCTGCACCCGGTCCCCTGCCTTGTCCTTCTTCGCTTTGGCCGGTTCTGCTGGCTCAGCTTCTGCCTGCTCAGCAGGCTCGTCAGCTTCCGCCGGCTCGGACTCGCCCTCTGCGTCGCCTCACCGGAAGAAGGAAAACGACATTAGGACCAAACACCAAGGATCCCCGCGATCAGTGACACGCTACGACGCTCCCAGGCCAAAGAAGTCACAAAAGCCAAGAAAGCAACATAAGACGCGAAAGTCATCGGACTTGCAAAGCCCACTCCAGACCTGCAAGAACTGCAACGAAAAACAAAGCTAAAAAACCTTGGCCGCCTCTGAAACAAGACCTTCTGTGGGAGGTAAGCCGTAACAAAATGGCTTCCTGGTTACCTGCCGGCCCTCCTTTGCCCTCAGCCACGGCACTTGCTTCGCTCTTCGCCTGCACCTTCAGAGTGCTTGGGGCCTGGCCAGGGTCTCTGCTGCCGCCACAAACAAAAAGCCTACACGGCATCCCGAACCCAGCGCATTACCCCCACCCAGGTGAACTATCTATCGTCAACCACACCCAGACCACCGAGGGTCGATCTGACAGACCCCTGTACCCCATAGACCCCAACCTGACATGGGGTCCTTTCCTTGCAGTCCATTCCCAGAGTCGGTAGAGCCGCACATTCTGCACTCCACACCCTCTGCCTCATCCTTCTTGGCTTTGGCCGGAGCATCCTGCTGTTCCGGCTCGGGCTCTGACGGTGCGGGCTCGTCCTCCGACATGTCGCCTGGTCTTCAACGAGCAACGCGGGGAAAAACAGCAGAGGCACACAAGTAGGAAACCTGCGCCAGTGCCGACTGCTTCTTCGATCCGACATGGATCCAGTCCGAGTGGAGCATCGGATTAGTCCATCCGAAGTCTTCGGAACCCAAAGCAGCGACTCAGCCCTCGAACCTCGGAACAAGAGCGCGGCCAAGTCACTGGCTTTCAGAGCGGCACTGTTCTTATTGACGCTTCCCTGCCACGTTGACAGGCACTCACGACAATTCTCTGTCGGTCGAAGCTTCGATTCTTATAAAGAGGGGGGTGGTTTAAGGGGGGAGGTACCTTGGAACCCTCAAACATATTGAAGAAGTGCTGGGGACCAGGTTAACCTCTCCGTCTTGAACCACCACTTAAGGACCTTGTAGTGATTGTTTGCGAATGATTCACCCGGGACTTTGCATGTTGAATGAAGGAGGCTTATCAAAAGTACCCTTCAGAATGTTGGTAATCTGTGGATTCTAGGGGTCGGCTATAGGGATTATGGAAGGACTATTTTTGAGGACTATTCTCAAGACACGCACCTCCAGCTACATTATTCTCTCCCACACTCCACGGAATGAAAGAGAATGGCGCGCCCCTCCAGAATCCGGGTAATATGACCTCTGATTGGGCATTGCTTTGGCAAATGCTGGATTGGCCTCCGGCTCTAGCCTCCTGCTGTCGAGGGGAGTATGACATGGCATGTTTCCGCTGTCATGCTGACCAAAGCGCTTCAAAGAAATGAATGAGTCTCTGTTGGTGGGAATCCTGCTGGTGGTCTCCTTCTCCCGAAAAGTATAAAGGATCCCTCAACATCCTCCCATTGCCAGGCTCTTCAAGGCATATACCTGAGACAAGGCTTTGTGGAAAGCTTGTCGGAATTTAGCGCGGAAAGGCGCGTCCAACAAGAAAAGCCCTTGGTGTCCCACTTGGCTGTGCCTCAAAAAAAACGTACCAAATTGGCACCTTGGAAACTGGAGCCAAAGACTAAAACCTGCGTAACCCCAGCTCTTGAATTTTGAGCCACACCCGCTTCGCTCGCCGGAAATCAGGAGTCAAAACGAGAAGGAAGATGATGGGTTTCCCAGCAACCACGTGCGCGCTTGCGGTAGCTCCCAAAGGCTCCCTCTGTAACAGCAAAACAAATTGGGTCAAAATCCCGCACCCCCAGCGAACATCCCAGTCCCCACTAAAGTAGACTAAAATGGGTCGCGAATTCACCTACCCCAGAATGGTACCACTGGTTTTGACCCACAGCCAATTGGATCCCCCCCAGCGCCTTCTTAGCTCCCCAACCCCCAGCAAGCCGACTTCTCCGAGGCCTTTGGAAGCTGCACCATGAAGCTCTCGTTCCGCCTGCGAGAGGAAACGGGGGGATTCTCGGCCTTTTGCCGCTGAAATCGCGTACCCCGAATCCCTGAAAAAGGACCAAGGGGTTGATATGGGGTTGATGACCATGTTTCGGAAGAGGTCTCAAGTATGGGAGTCACTTGGCTTCACGTCCATGAGGGGCACAAAGAAGATCATAAGCTGCCCAATACCAAGAACTCGCAGGCTGGGTCTGGGTTGGCAGACAGCCTGCCTCCCACTAACATGGCACCTACGGGGAGGTACCTGGAAGATTACTTTCCTCTTCCACAGGTGCCATGTTAGTGGGAGGGAGGGTACATGCCAAGCTGCTTTGCCAGCTGCACGCTGCGCGCCACATCTCGCCAGCCCTCCAGCCAGCCGTCCGCCGGGTGATAGAACTCCTCGCAGCCTGTCCCGAAACGAAAACCCTACCACAGGCCCCAGGCATATGCGAGCCCCTGAAGGTCGGGGAGGAAAGAAAGTGATTGATTACTTTTGGTTTCAGGCTCGGGCTTCCGAGGCACAGCCAGGGCCGGCCAGGCTCGACCATCAGCTAGCATAGAGGCAGGGAACCAAGAGGCAAGGCAAGAGCTTCTAGGCATGGCAGAGATGGGCCAGGAGGGACTCACCTAGCTTTGAAATTGGCGAACCAAGCTGTTGAGATGCCCGCAACAGCACACACGCCAAAGCAGCTGCCCACAGAAGAAAAAAAACAAAAAAGAAGCCAGTTTGGGGAGAGGACCTGAGAGCCTTGCGCAAGCCTCACCCGCAACTTCTTCTCTTCCGACCCTACCCCAACCATCTCCTTTGCCCAACCCCAAACCCCAAGCCCCACACCAAACCGACCCCCCAAACCCATGGCCACCAGCGCCGGCGCCTTCCAGCTCCACCACCTTGCTGACCTCCCCGTCCAGCGGCCCGCCCTGCGCGATCCCCGCGCCCGCGCGGTTCAGCGCCAGCAGCGCCAAGCCCACCTGGTCCTATCCGAGAGGCATGTTCTACACTGGGCTGCCCTCAGATCCCCCACTAAAAGTGACTCACTTTTAGTGGGCTAAATGGAAATCCCCACTAAACACTAAAAGGCTAAAAAGCTAAGGGGATGGCTGGGAGCCACCAAGTACAGGCGAGACTGGCACCCAACCTGCCCAGGGGGGGAAGGGGGTCCTGGTTTCGAGCATTTTCCTGTAAACATATTAATTCGGGGGAATGCTGCGAAGGGAAACAAAGGATTGACAACAATACGATTTTTGGGCATCTTGTTCTTGTCGGGTGTCCGAATATTTGCTAACAGCTTCTATTGTTGACTTCACATTATTGTTCTTCTGTGCTTGATTATTTTTGGTTTAGAAGTCCTTCGGTGGGCTCTCCATTCCTATGCTGTTGGCTTGTCTTAGCTCACCCGAGCCCCTCAGAGAAGCAGTAAGCCAAAACTTGGGTGGTTGGTGGACTTGTGCCAACCCTGCCCGGGAAAAAACAAAATACACACACTGCTGTCAGCGCAAAGCGGCAAGCCAATGTCTTGACTGGCCAGGGACACCAAAGGGCAAGACATCCCGTGCCCCGTCACACGATGGTGATCCTCACATTTCATCAAAACGTGTTCAACCCGCTCTACTTCATAGGCGGAACTCAACAATTTGGTCTGTCCTGGACACCTGGCGAGCCCGCGGCAAGAGTGAAGTGCTTGGCCCCTGTCAGAAGCGCCAAGTTCTCCGCAATGGAAGACCTCGATCCGACCCGAAACCAAGCCTTCGGCCCGTGTTGCTTGAAGAGCACAAGGATGCCCCAATGATCAAGAAGTCAGCTGCTGAGCAAATTCGTTGCACCAAAGCGGCAAACTTTGCAGGCCGTGCTTCGTGTAGCTTCTAGATGGTCGGAAATAAGCGTTTCTGCGCCGAAAAAAATGGGCCGAGCGCTTGGAAAGCCAACACAACCTAGCGAGTGCGAGACGGCCTCTAGAGCCTCTAGCCACTTCCAGCACACTTGTGATCCTTCCTTTCCAGGGATTTGAAGCCTTCATGCAAGGCATTCCTCGTTTTCAGCCATGGGATGCTGGAAGTTGAGGCCCAGCGTCTGAGCCCCCGACTGACCCTGCACGATCTCCACAAAGGGCGTGGAGGATCGCAACAGCAGCCTCGACGCGCAACCAAAGAGCCTTTGAACTGAACCGAGGTGCCCAGACCTCTTTCAAAGGCGTACCAGTCATACTGTACTGTTTCAAGAAAGGTCTTTTTGGAAACTGTTTTTGAGCACAGCAAACCAGAGAAAAACCACAAGAAGCTCCCATTTGAAAAGGCCCGAATGGTTATTTAAGGACCCTTGTCTCACAGTCACCAGAAGCGAAGAACCCTGCGCTTGATGCATGATCTTCCTTTTGCGCGGCGCCCTTGCACTCGGGGATTGTGACACCCCCTCGCAGCACAAACAAACGGCAAGTCTCAGAATGCGTCGCTGAGACCGCCAAAAGGCTCCGCATTGCTCAGGGAAGCAAGACAGCCTTCAGCGTAGCAAGACTTCTCATGCTTTGGCCACAAGGCCTCTGTGTCTCGGCTTTCGGCTTTGTTGTCTGTCATCCACGTTTGATCCCCGGCTGTTCCTTTGCCCTCAAATCCCACCGCAACACAAAACTTTTGAGTGCAATGTGATTACCGCCTTCAAAATGTCCATGGAAACCACAAAAAAGAAGACAAGAAAAGAAACCGAGCCACAAAACCCGCGTCCTTCACCGGCCCACGCCCACACGCCGGCCGCTTCGACTCCCGACTCGCGTCTCCCGACGTCGTCCGAGGCGCTCCGCGCCGCTGGGCTCCACGTTGGCCAGCGCCACGAAGGCCTCGCACTGCGCCGCACTCTGCGGGGCGATCGCCTCGGCCAGCGATTGGCTCGAAAGCATCTTTTTGTTGTTTCTTGAGTTTGATTCCGGGTTTGAAAGGACCAGAGGGTTTGATTCCCATTTTCAAGCGTCGCTCTTTTTCCGAGCTTGCGCCCTTTTGGTCCAACGGGGTTTTGAGCCATTGCCGTCCCATGGTTTCAGGGGTGCATCCCACATTCTGTCCAGGGATCCTTCTAGAAAACCCCCCAGAAGCCCAGGGACGATGGTCGAACTGAATGGGGAATCAAAAAACCCCATTGGACCAAAAGGGCGCCAGCTCAAGTCCAAGGGCCCTGGAATCCCAAAGGGAAGCCCCAAAAATGGGGGGTCCCTGGTAGATGGCCCCAGGAGAATGGCTCGAAAAGCCGACAAGGGAGCTCCTGACGGGGCAGGGGGGAACAAAAAACATGACCTCGAAAACCATGTTACCAAAAGGAGTTCTGGCTCCCCACCTAAGAAATAAATTCAGTTCCGTTACATTGGCACCGTTTGGCGGTGGCTCAAAAAATGGAGTCCCCAAAATGACACCTTGGTAACTGGAACCAAAGACGACTAAGACCTGCGTAACCCTGGCTCTGGAATTTTGTGCCACATCCATAATAATTGATCAAGCTGGTGCGATTGGGAATGAGTTTTTCTCATGCCTATCGCACCAGCAAGTTGTTCGAAGCCCGGGCGACTGGCTGGAGCAGGCCTGTGGTTTGGTGGGGTTGGAAGAGGGTCTGTCTCAAAAAACTCGGCTGAAGTGGCCTCTAATTTGGCGGGGACACGTTTTCCGACAAAAAGAGCGGTTCAGGTGGTTGGAGAGCTGGTCGAGAGCCGAAACCTCGACTAACCTCAACATGGGGAATGTAGCATGGATGTGTCGCCTTGAATTTGGTTCCCAAAAGGACGCCAGGCAACCGACACCGTGGAATTAACTTGCTGGCGCACAAGTCCCTGCACCCTGCTATGTTGATTGTAGAAACAAAGAACGAGCAACACACACGACCAAACGAGCAAATGAAAGACAAAGTTGAGTAATGAAAACCGGTATTACAGGGAGGCTGAAAGAATCAAAGGAGCTTGAAGCATGAGTCTCAAAAGGTGGGGAATTTACCCTGCTAACCTTTTCTGCCCAGGATTTGATGTTTGGCAGAATTTTGCTTCCCCCTGTCCCCTTCACGATGGACGCACAGGCTTTATGTTGCAATATCTTGTTCAGGGTGCTTGTTTTGGGTTGAGTCTGCATCCCCCACCCCCAACGCAGGGCCTGTAGCTGCACGGGGCGCCCCTGCAGCTGGCATCGCTGCAGGCTCCCGGTGTCAGGAGGCGCCTGCGCCAGGCACACCTGCGATAGCTTTAGATCGGAGCCCACCCCGCGAGACCAAACAAGCGAATCAACGACCAAGTCCCCTCGCCTCCCATGCACACAGGTGCGCAAGCCGGCTTTTTCACGCCTGCACGCCAGCCACGGTGGAGCAAGCGCGCGCAAGCCATTTGGCTCCCTCGTGCCTAGGCTTTGCCCTCCAGCTGAGACATGGAGGCATCCTGGATGGCATTGAGGCGCTGGTACTGCCGCAGGTCCAGTGGCCTCCGGGGGTCGTCCAGGTCCACCAGGGCCTCCTGGATGTTCTTGTCCTTTGACCAGTCAAAAATATGTACCCAACATGGAAGCCTGCTAAGTGGAAACATGGACCAAAACCTGCGCCCCCGGTGGTTTAATTTTAACCCTTTCCTCGACATTGCACCATCAACTCATGGCAGGACTTGGGTAGACTTGAGATCAACAAGACCTCGTGCCTAAGGTACATGCAGAGTTCTGGCTGTCCTGCTCCTCAAGATCCGCCCAGACAGCGGAGAAGTGCTGCCCGGACTCGGCGGCTTCCGCCGCGCCGGACTGTGGACGCAGGTGGCGGTACATGTCCTTCAGCCGCTGCTCCTCCTCGCCAGGACAGAACTGAGCGGTCAAAAACCTGGACATGGGGGGGGAAAATGGCAGGGTCATGGCTGGTCTTGGGCTTCCCATGAAAAGAAGACGATGAAACCTAAGATGAGCTTGGAGAGAGTTGGACAAGGAGACGGCATTTTGTGCCACGCTCCTGCTGGTCCTGCTGCTCCAGTGCCCGGAATGGCTCCGAGATGGACACCTGCGGCACCTCCAAGCTCTGACTCTTGGTGAAGTCCACGCCCCGCATGCGCCGCTGCACCAGCGCCACCGGCGAAGCCGAAAGCGGCGCCGCGCCTCCCGCGGTCAGAGCTCCCGCGGTCGGAGCCGCCTTCGCGGGGCCCCAGAAGGCCGCCATGGAGCTGGGAGCGGCGCCCGCCGCGCCGCCGGCCACGCCCGCGGTGTGGCGGGGCCGCGCGGGGGCCGCGAAGATCGAGGCCTTCAGCCGGGCGAAGAAGCCCGAAGCGGAGGCTGCGGAGGCCGAGGCCGAGGCCGAGGCCGAGGCAGCGGAGGCCGAGGCCGCAAGAGAGGCGTTGGCCGTGGCGTTGGCCTTCTCCTTCTCCGCGTCGCTGTTTGCCAAGACCTGGCGCACCATCTTCAGCTCCAAGCGCGTCTCCTGCAGCGCCGTCTTCAGCTCCTCAAGCTGGAACTCCATGGACTCAGGTTCCTTCTTCGCCCGCTCAATCTGAGGCTCAGAGACCTCCTTGGCCGCGTGTGAGGCGGGCAGAACTTGGCTTCTCTCGAATTTCGGAGCAACTTCTGCTTTTGGAATCCGGGATGGTTCACTTGTGGCCACATGCAAAGTTTCTGGAGAAGCGTTGCTTTGTTCAAGTTTGCTCACGGGATGCGCCGTGATCTTCGCTACTTTGACCTCTGCCTGAGTGGCATGACTCTCCTGCGACTTGAGCTTCTCCAATTTTGCAGACAAATCGGAGACGTTGATTTGCTCAGGAGCGACCTCTGCCTTTGGTTTGGCGCTTCGCTTCACATGCTCTGGTGCCGGAGCTGACTTCTCCAGTTCGGAAGGATCCACCTTCTGGACGCGCTCCTCCATTTTATCCAGCTCGCCAAATGGATCCGTTTTTTTGGCATGCTCCGAACTGAGCACGGGTGATGCTGGTGACGGAGTACCTTTTTGAACCGCATGCTCCGGCTTCTCCAATTCAGCAAACGGATCTGCTTTCTTGGCATGCTGCTCTGACCTCAATTGCTTTGGCTCCGGCTTCTCCAACTCAGCAAAGGGATCTGCATTCTTGGCATGCTGCTCTGAGCTAAATTGCTTTGGCTCCGACTTCTCCAATTCAGCAAACGGATCTGCGTTCTTCGCATGCTGCTTTGGGCTGAATTGCTTTGGCTCTGGCTTCTCCAATTCAGCAAGCGGATCTGCTTTCTTGGCATGCTGCTCCGAGCTGAATTGCTTTAACTCCGGCTTCTCCAATTCAGCAAACGGATCTGCTTTCTTGGCATGCTGCTCCGAGCTGAATTGCTTTGGCTCTGGCTTCTCCAATTCAGCAAACGGATCTGCTTTCTTGGCATGCTGCTCCGAGCTGAATTGCTTTGGCTCCGACTTCTCCAATTCAGCGAAGGGATCTGCGTTCTTCGCATGCTGCTCCGAGCTGAATTGCTTTGGCTCCGACTTCTCCAATTCAGCGAAGGGATCTGCATTCTTCGCATTCTGCTCCGAGCTGAATTGCTTTGGCTCCGGCTTCTCCAATTCAGCAAAGGGATCCACTTTCTTCGCAACCGAACCGAGCGCTGGAATTTCCCGTGCCGGATACGTCGGCTCCGCTTTTGGGGCCTGTCCGGAGGCAAAGGGATCGACCTCAGCGCGCTGGGTCAGAGAGACTCGTACTGGAAATGCAACGGATGCCCACGCAGGCGCTCTCAAAATACGTCTTGACACAAGGAAAAATGCTGACCCCCAAGGTCACCAGTCACTTGTTCCTCCACATGAGCATTCAGTAGTCCCGCAACATGTTTATGGGCAGCTGGGGGTGGAACTTGGCACTCCAAATCTTGCTTCGGGAATGGGGGAACGAACCTGAACCCTATCAAACCTCTGGTTCCTGAGAGAAACTGCGAACTCGCAGAATCCGAAGCCCTCTCAAAATAGCAAAGGTCTACCCTCCCCCAGACTAACATGGAAGCTCCCAGGACCCCTAAGACTTGGTTCCTGTTACAGCGGCCAATTGGGGGAGCTTCCATGTTAGTCTGAGGGAGTGTAAGCTCTGACATGCCACCAAGGCTCATGTGCCTCAGACCTCTCCAGCTCCGCAAAGGGATCCGCCTTCGGCAGGTCATCCGCAAAGGGGTCCACCAGCTTCACGCGCGGAGGCTCCTGCGGCTCCTCCGCCTTCGGCTTGGGCGAGTCCTGCAGAATCTGTGCCACTGGCCCCCTCGCTCATGTGACTTGGTTGAGGGTGGGTAATTGGGGAAACCACCCCTCCAAAGCAGCGGGCCCCCGCCCCAAAGTCCCTGCCTGCAGATCGTCATCGAAGAGATCCTTTAGGGACTTGGCCAGCTCATCTGGGCTGCCCGCGGCCAACACCAGCAGCAGCAGCAGAGACTTCATTTTCCGCTGGCCGGGAGCGAAGGACCCCCCGGCCGAAAAAGTGTGCTGAAATCGACTTCAGCTGCGAGCCGATGCGGCCGCGCGCCGGAGGCGTCCGGGTGTACGCTTGTTGAGTAGGTGCTGAGGTTCCAAGAAAGCCCCTTCAAAGGGACCAGAATTCGAGGCTGCGCCCTGCGCCTCTTTGCCAGTTCCCAAGTCCTCCCACATTCGCACACCTGTTGCCCCCTTCCACCCTGCCTGCGCCTCATCGGCTGGATCGCTCGCAGTTTGGCCCTTCAAGAAGCTCTCAACCTCGTATCATATGTTTGTGGAAGGGCCCTTGGCGAAATGCACATGGGGGTTGATTCCTGCAACCTGTTCCACTTAGTGGTTGAACTATCAAATCTGTTTTGTGGTTTCCCCAATGGTCATCCTGGGAAAAGGACATTTTGATCAACCCCATAGCCACAATTATCCAGGTCCGCAATCCACTCTTCCGCCCAACAGGGATCCCCTCGCTGTATGATGCTCCCCCAACCCCTCCCCGAACACTTCCAATCTATTGACGGCTTGCTGGATTGTCCAAAAAGGCAGACGCGTTAGGAGAAATCCTCTGCGTTTGGCACCCATGCTTCTCTCCGTCCCAACAGAAAAAGGCACGGACCCGCATGAAGCACCAACTCCGCTGTTGCACAGATCGGACTTGGAAGTTGGATACGAAACTGTCCTTTCAAAACCCGAAAGAAAGAAACATGCCATTGGCAAAAAGACAACGCGCCATAAGGAAATTCGATACAAAACTGTCCTTTCAAAACCCGAAAGAAGGAAACATGCCATTAGCAAAAAGACAACGCGCCATAAGGGAGCGGAGTCTGATCCGCGTCTCTCAGAGCTGGGGCGAGGCGCAAACTTGAGCACCAGCCGACCATCCTGGCAAACAGTCAAACAACGAGAAAGACGGCAGAAGAGAATCGTGGAAGAATTCAAAAGGGAATCCAAATGGCTATGGGTCAAAATCCCGTACCCCCAGTAAACATCCCAGTCCCCACTAACATAGACTAAAACGGGTGGTGAGTTCACCTACCAACCAAAATGGTACCATTAGTTTTGACCCACAGCCAAATGGCTTCATAACTGAGCTTGCATTCCCCCGGGTGGGGTCTCTAACACCTCAGGTTCGCAGGATTCAGTAGTCCGGACAAACGCCTGGCTGACATGGGTGGAGTCGTTGGTTCATTGGTTCCCGCATGGCAACAAATGGACATTCCATCTCGGGTTCTGGTGGCCCACCATGTGGCCATGGGTCAAAATCCAAATCGCACCCCCAGTGAACATCCCAATCCCCACTAAAATAGGTCCTAAAATGGCTACCAACCAAAATGGGATCCCGTTGGTTTTGACCAGCACAGCCATGTGATTGCGTCTTTTGTCTTCCTCGCAATGGCCAGAATGTTTCTTGCAACTCTTTCGAACACCTGGCTGCGGCCTAGCACATGCGTCAACGTCAGGAGCGAAAACAAGAACAACGGATCCTTGTGATAGGAAGGGTCCCTTGGGCCCCAAGTAACTCTTCTGACCCTGGCACTGAGCTGCCTGATTGAAATCCAGCAGTTCCTGGTCGCAGGAAAGTCATTTGGAGTCCAGGGGAAAGGGCGAATGATCGCAAAGCATAAACGTGGTCTGCATGAGTTTGTTCGCTTGGGAAAAGCATCGTAGAAGAAATCGATGTGCATTCCTGTTGCTTCTAACAATCAATACAGCCCTTGACGCCTCGCTTTGGTCCGATGCATAGATCGGAGCGGCGTGCGAAAACCGGGCATCCCGTTAGGAAAGAAGCTGTTTCATTGCTCACGCCCCGTGCTTTTCGGAGTTCAAGTGCAGGCCTCTTTTGAGCGTGCCGGGCTGATCTTTTCTGTGCCCCTTCCATCAATCACCAAAGTGTCGAAAAGCTGCCGCATCTGTTTGGGACTCAAAGAGGCTTCTACCTTGACATCTTCCCAGACGGGTAGCTTTCAGGCGGAAAAAAATCGGGATTGCTAAAGATGGGGCGACCTGCGCCCTCAAAATGGGTAAACAAACATAGAACCTGAACAGGGGAACCGTTCCCGGGCCACTCTCTCCTTTCGGGGGCCCCCTGTGCATGTTCTAATTATACAACCCGCCCCTTTGGGGTGGGGGGTGGGGGTGCCGTGAGCCCGAGCGAGTCCCGCCTGGGGGTTGCACTTGAAGCGTTGGTTCCAGGCAAAGGCCCAAGCATCGCCGCTGAGCACGGCCACCCGGTCGAAGCAACGCGCCTCTGACCATTCGACTCAGTTGCCCACTTGAGTCGTAGTGAAAACCCGGTAGTAAAATGGTCTACTCAGAACCATGTGAAGAATTAGGACGGCGGCCGCAGCTATTTATGGTTGGGATTGTCTCTGGCTAACCTTCATCTACCCTGGTTTTGAGCAAGTGGCCCACTTTGCCCTTTGAAACATCAGCAACTTTGGAACGCCCTGACTCTGATAGGTGTCCGTTGGAACATGGAAAGTGACAGAACCTGCTTGAGAGGCGGGTTTCCGTTTGGGCAGCGCAGTCCTTGAAAACAACCAGGTGAATAGCCCTGGTGGATTGATGCGCGCCTGCTTAGCATCGGAGAGCAGGCCGGCCAGAGGGTTGTCATCCTGAAGCAACACGTTTGTCAATGCAAAGCTGCCCTCCTGTCATGGCTTTGCCCTTGTGTGTCAGCCCGCTTTCCGACCAGCATCTTTTAAGCCAACCTTGGCCACGATTTACCGAACATCGCCACCATCCTGGTGCCCCTTTTGCTCAGCACTAGGCTCAAAAGCTGTGCAAGAAGCGTTCGGTGGCTGGCTGCGAAAATGGCAAAGAAGGGAAAACCAAAAGCGAAACAAGGAGCAAGCACGCACTACCCAGAGATTGAAATCGGCGGTTTTGTGTCGCAAACATCCATCCAAACCACTCGATCAAACTGCAAAGCATCAAACCCTGCCAAGGCGCTCTAGGCTGCCAGACCTGCACATCCTGCGGCCGCATGCGCAGCACTTTCCTGGCCACGTGGGCCGCGAACTCCGCCGACATCTGCTGCCAGAGGGAGGCGTCGGAGGCTTCTGCCCCACCTGCGAATGAGGCAGCTGCAAATCTGTGCCACAGGCATATAAATATGAATATCATATACATATATATATATATATATGTATATATATATATATATATTTGTGTGTGTACGCGTGTACGTGCATATGTTCATGAGTTGTTGAGTGTGTATGTGTAAATATATATATATATATATATAATATATATATATATGCTTACGCGCAATTCTCCTGAAGACATGGTTCAAAAATAGAGACTCGAAATGAAAGCCTAGTACGTGGCAAAGTAGACTCAAACCTACGGGCCCTTCTCAAACGTTCAGCCACATTGCGCGAGTCAGGGATCCAAAATGTTCACGGTACCAATGACCAGAAATTGCATCTGGCCATATGAGGTCTTGTGCATTTGAACCTTGCAGAAAATACAAAACAAAAACATTGCAAGCAAGGCATCGCCGCAACTCACAAGTCTAGCTGCCAACAGCCTCGCTGCGAAGGCCAGGGTTGCTGCTGCTGTTGATGCTGTTCTTCTTGTTCTTCTTCTTCTTCTTCTTCTTCTTCTTCTTCTTCTTCTTCTTCTTCTTTTTCTTCTTCTTCTTCTTCTTCTTCTGCTTCTTCTTCTGGGTCAAAAATAGGGTAACCCCAAAGCGGCTTGCCCTTGTAAACGCAGACCAACAGACTAAAACCTGCGGCCCAATTCCTCATTTGTTTCAGAAAAAGAAAAACATTCACCACACCCAGGTAGTATGTCCGCATCTTCAGATCCAATTTGCCGTCGCCACCGTCTCTCTGTCCCGTTTCGGAGCCGGCCGTCCTGGCAGCACCAGCAGCACCCGCCCGGTGCCAGGCCGGCCACCGCAAGCCGCCCGCCAGGTCTCCACGTCCTGCAGGAAGGGCTGCAGCACCGCGCCGGCGTCCTCGCCGGCGATCTCCCGATCGGCCGAGCAAAATATGGCCATCGGTTTGAGTCCATGTCTCCATTTACCAGGTTGAACAATTGGGTACCCATTCTTGACCCCCAGCCATATGGCCATGGGTCAAAATCCAAATCGCACCCCCAGTGAACATCCCAATCCCCACTAAAATAGGTTTTAAAATGGGTGGTGCACCTACGTACCCCAAAATGGTACCATTGGTTTTGACCCACGGCCATATCTTCGAGTGAAGGAGGCCCCAAGAAAAGGCCACAAAACAATATCTGGGATTCTCTGCACCTTCTGCATCAGTTCGAAAGAGATCAAGTTTTGGTGCATGGTGAGCGCTCTGCAAAATCATCAAAGAGAAACTCGGGATGCCCTCACAAAGGTGCTAAATGTCAAGACGCCAACTCCAAGGACTGATCAGCAAACCCCTGACAGCAGAAACATAGACCATGCATGCTTTGGCCTCTCTCAGCCACTGAAAAAAACAAACAAACGACGCCTTCACTCTTCGGCTTTTACAAGTCAGGGACTCTGCGTGGTGGACTGACAGGGCTCCAGTTTAGACGAATTCACTGTTCGCGAACTCTTGGAATGAATGCACATCCGGCGACGTTTTCCATGAAGGCATAGGGAACAGTACTGGGTCTAAGAGGCTTTGATTTTCAGTTGGCAATCCCAAAGCTTGGTGCAAAGAACCAGCTAGATTGACGAAGTGGATAAATTAGGAACACAAATGTATAAACTGCAAAGCCCGAGTCCTCATCCAACATCTGCGAGGAGTCAGAGCTCCACAAGTCAAAGACGGCCAGACCCACCTTCAGAAGCCGAGAAGCCCATCAAAAGTTCCAGCGCTGAATGTGTGAATCTACGCACTCCCACAATAACCCCAAGGTACACCTGAACCACAAAATTCCCTTGGGAACTCAACAACCCATTGGTTGAAACTGGTTTACCCTGACAACCAAAAAGCGGAACCCTGCGCATGAAAAAGACCCCTGCCTCACGGTTTCATGAGCCATTCACGGTGGCTTTGCGCAAAAACGAACCACGTGGCACGACGTAGTTGTGGAAGTTCATATGAACACATCCCGCCGCGTGAAATTATTATTTTGAAAAAAAATGTTGGAATGCCGCCTCCAGCGAGCCATGGGTTCTTCAAACTGGTGATCCTCACGGCACAAAGCCAGCCAGTCCAGCCTGATGCACCTCGTGATCTGCGCGCATGTAGCTCAAGGGCGTCTCATCTACGCTGGCGTTGGTCCTGACATGTGACGGCCGAGCGCTTCCAAAGTCCCTCTTTGGGAAGCACAGAGTCTGTGCTTCAAGCCTGGCAGCTCAAACGGAAGAATTGTGATTACTTGAGTCATCGAGGACTGGTCTCCTCTTTTCTTGATCTGGCCCCCTTCTCATTTGAGGCTTTGGACCCTGGAAATCAGGGCCTTCATTGTCTGATGCTCTTTCAACTTCGGATCTTTCACCCACAATCCAGCGTCGACGGCCCATGTCCTCCATACCCCCCACTTCGCTCGTCGCTTCTGCTCGACCCGCCTGCTGCCCCGCAGGCGGTGCACCAGGCCCCGGGCGACGCCCCCCGGGCAGCCCGCGGCCTTCTGCGCCCGCGGCGCCCGCAGCTCCCGCAGCGCCGCGGCGCCGGCCAGGCGCCTCGACGTTCGCGGCGAACCGGAGAAAACCACGGGGCAACCGGTAAAGCCCCGGGATGTTCATCGAATGTCCCATGTTCCCAGAAACAAAAGACATTCCTGGTTTGTTCATTGCTCCCAAGTTTAAGAGGGGATTATTTGTTTCACTTAAAGAAAAGCAAACAATCATGTTTTACAAAAGATGACAAAAGGAACAAATACTCCCATGGTACAAGAATGTTCGGGAAAGCCCGGCAGCATTGAAGGTGGCATTCCAAAGCCAAATGAACCAGAACAAGGGCATCCAAACAAAGGGACTCTGCGAGTGGAAACGTGCAAAAGGGTCCGTACCCAAGCAGGCCCAGGAAGCTTGTTGCGTCGTTGCAAGAAGCACAGGCTTGCTGGCACATTGGTACTGTGGAAGCCCCAAAGATATTGGAAGTTCCGCAAGACCGGGCTCTAATTATTCTTCCCGCCTGTGCGTGAACCCCTGTCCTTTGGTTGAAGCCAGACCCGCTTCCGAGGCCCTTTTTGTTACCTGTTCAACATTGAATTTGGTGACAATGGCCGTGGACGTTGTGTCAAGTTCGCACTGACAATATTCCAGGCTTCAGCCGTTGGCTGCTGATTTGAGCACTGATTGATCGGCAGAAAAAGGCTGTATGCTTTGACGTGTCCACACGCTCATTTCCTCAAAACCCCAACAGCTTTTACGCAGAATGTTACGTCAACTCGCGACAGCGGAGCTGGACAGGACAGTCTTCAGTTTGCAAACAACACCTGCATTATCTGTATCAGAAGATGTCAGCGATCATTGATAGGTTCTGTCGGAAGGAGAGCTCACAGGCTTTGGATCCAGATTGTATTTGGATTGCAACATGAGAAACCTTTCTTTCAAGAAGCTACCTCGCGGAGCGGGTGATTTGAGTATGTCCTCCAAAAGGAACTGGTCCATGGTAGACAAGTCTAGCATCGCACTGGCAAGTGGATCCTGGCGACTTTGCTGTCACCCTGTCGCACCCTGAAGTTCTGCAACAAGTTCCCTCGGAAAGACAAAGGCCATCTTGCTGGCCATCTTGCGTCAAATCTGGTGAAAAGAACAAGTCCAAAGTGTAGCCTGCACCCACTTCAGGTCAAAGCTTCTGCTGAGTATTCGCTTTAAAACACTACTTTCGGGGATCCTCCAGTTTCTTCGGGGAGCCTCCAGTTCATTCGCGGAGGGAGCCAAAAAAAAACCTCATTCAGCCCTTAGTAAGGCCTTATTTAGGGCAGAAATTTGGGCTCCCTCCCCCTCCCCTCCCTCCCCCCCAGCCCCCGTAACTTTGAATCTGGGCGCAGGCCACCGCCAGATCCCTTCAGCTGGATCTGTGCCTGGAGCGTGGGACGTCAACGGAAAAAACCACCAGCCCCCTGCGTGCTGAACAAACTTGTGGGCCTGTTGCAAATACAAACATGTTCACTCTACTAGCAAAGAAACACTTGTTGACCCACCAACAATTTGGATCTACGTGGCAAGGATAAGCTTGACGAGCATGAATACATCCTAAAATAGGGGGCCACCAATACAAAAGTGCTTGTGCTTTCATTCAGAAAGCCTAAACAAGCGCGCCCTCAAACAAGAGACCCACATCAAGCCTCGGCATCGACAGCAGCTAACACGCGCCCACGTCGGCCAGCGCTCTCCAGAGCAGCTGCATTGATCACAGCCTGGGCATACTGCAAGTGCACAGGTTTACCCTCCCACCAGCTAACGTGGAAGTGCCAAAAGGCCCTTTCCAAGAGGAAAGTAGTCTTTCCGCAGGGGTCTGTGCACTTCCATGTTAGTTGGTGGGAGGGGTAGGACTGCCATGCGACACCTGACCCAATCAAAACCAAGCATTTCAAAATGACGAGAACCCAAAGACGCAGGAGATGGTTGGGATCGTCCCCGACCAACCTGCGTCTTTCCAGGGTGGGTATAGACTGTGGCACACCTTGGCCTCCGGGCTAAGACAAGTGTAGCTGGCGCTCTAAACATGAACATGCTACTGTTTCACAGTGCACGGAGACCTGAGCCATAGTTGCTTCGGAACGGTCGGCTTGACCGCGGCTTCCAGAAAACTGCTGACGGAAGGCCATCCTCGCCAGAAAACGACATGACCTCCCTCGGACATGGCACTCAGTCACTTCCTGTCGCTTGGTGAACCGCTAAAACCGAGCTGCACAGCTCTTGCCGCAGCAGCCCACGCCTGGCGCGCCATCACCCTCGCGCTTCCGTCCGCTCCTCAGCCCAGGGAGGTGGCTGCATGCTCCTTCTGATTGCATCAACCGAGCAATCTCTCCACATGGGGATGTGCGTGCACTGGGAATGAATCCAAGGCCGACTGAATGCCTGCATGTCGTTTCGCTTTGAAGGCCATCCCAACAAAACATCTCTGAGGAAAACCCAATTCCGAATCCATCACCTTGCCCATGCCCATGCTGGGAAGCTGGCATGGTCTTGGGGCTGGCCTGCGCGTCAAGTGCTGCGTTCAAGCTTGGCTTGGATTTGCACTTAACTGTGATCAACCGTTCCGGCTTCTCGTCTTTGGTTCGGCTTAAGTTTACGCGCTGCAAATAGTGCCGGCGACTTCTGCAAGTCTTTCACCGGATCTCCCCATCTCATCTGACTGGCGAAATAAATTGAAATGGGTCGGGCAAGGCATGATGGGTTTCCACACTAATGGCTGCGAAGTTGTGGTATGGTTGTGGTTGCCACATGCTTGGTATTTGTGGATGCTTTGGCTACAAATCGCACTGGCGAGTCTTTGAAATGGTTGTGGGATTTTCAGGTTGAGACACCGGCAACGGCTTCCCAGCTGCCAGCTGCTCCTTGTGCGTGCGCAGGCTGCTGGCAAAGCGTCGAGATGCCCACTCCTGAGCTTCACCAAACTGTGCCTCACCCGTTGAGCAATCGAAATGGCCATGGACCAAAACCAATGGTGCCATTTTGGGGTAGGTGCACCACCCAGTTTAGTCTATTTTAGTGGGGATTGGGATGTTCACTGGAGGTACAGGACTTTGACCCATGGCCAAATCGCAGCTCTTTACGCTGGTCGAATTCGCCCCCTCCAAAGTCCTCTGATGGCATGCCAAACCTTCCTTGCAGAAAGCTGGCACCGGCTTTCTGGGGGCCCGGGAAGGCGCAAGAGGCGCTTGCTCGGCCTTGTGAGCACGTGCTTTCTGGTGCCGTCAGCACCCAGCTCGTATGGGGGACACGAAGCCAAGGGTCCTCCAAGGCAACCCCAGAAGTGGGCCCGGCAAAAGGCGAGGCCGCGACCTGACAGATACGCGATGCATGCGACACGCTTGGGCAATGAAGTCATGCCGAAATGGGCCAATACCTCCGAACGCCTGGTCTCCCAGCACAACAAAGGTATTAGCGGCTGCTCGGCACTCCCAAAAAGCATTATCAACTTGTGTGAAATGCGCCGAAGATACCCTTCCGTGGGTCAACCCTGGTGTAGTTTTCTCAAAGAAAATCAAATACGTCTCCCGGCATCGCAAAGACCCACGCGACTGAAGCCGATCAATCTCCAGGGCCCTCCGCCCGCTTGGAAGAGGACGCAGTGGCCCTGCCTGAGGAAAGGGAAGGCGATCAACGTTAGTTACCAAACTCAATAATTGTGGCTCCACGGCCTACTCAGAGACATCACACTTTACGCACAAACATTCAAACGCGTTTCAGCCACAGCGCTTTGCACAGGCGTTCAACGCGAGAGTGACCCAGAGTCAACCAGGGCGCCCCACGGCAGCGTGCTGTGGGAACCGGAGGCTCGAAGAGGTCCGACCTGCGAGTCGTTGGCTTGCGGTTTGACGGCTGGCTTTCAGGTCTGATTGGCTTGCGCGTGGCTGGGTTAGGCTTAGAGTTGGTTTATAGATTCAGGGGCGCAGGGAAAACGAAATCAGTTGTGCTCTCTCAAAATTACTAGCCATAAGATTCCTGCTTTCCACCAAACTCGGGGGGAGCCACCTGGCCCGGAATGCGTCAAAATGACAGCAACTATCAAGTTGTTGGTCTGAGCATTTCGGTAGCAGCATCCAAACAGGCTGCTCGCGTCTTCACACGATCCCACTCTAGCAATCAGCTTACAGCAGGCTACCCGGCAACTCTGAACATTTTGCATGTAGCCGTGAAGAGAGTAAGCCGATGTGCCATGAGTTCATCATGTTGGGTGAGAGGAAATATCCCAAACAAATGGCCCAAAGCGTGGAGAGGTCATGAATGCACCCTGATTGCATTTGCAGACTTCTGACCTGTCGACCAGATTCGTGCCGTGCTTCCCTCAATGCTTGGCAACTTGAAGCAGAGTCCAGTTTTGGCTAGCATCATCAACTAAGGACAACATGTGCCACAACTGTTTGCTTTTTTGGTTGAATATTGCTTTCCTAGCCATCGAAACTCGCGAGGCGTCCGGCCAATGTCAAACAAAACATTTGAGAAATCGAAAGTGGTTCCACTTGGATCCACTGTACATCACTCATTGTTCATAGGCTTGGAGCCCTCGCTGTACATGGGCTCGGGATGGCTTGGAGCCCTCTCTGCACATGGAGCCTCAGCATCCTTCAGACATGAACCTCCATGGGCATATTCACACACTCTCTCACCGTGCCTCTTTGTACCCTGCGCCACAAATGCCTCGACCTTCCCGAAGAGGTCGTCACCGGCAGGATCATGGCTCCGCTGTCCTCGGCATATGTAGTGGTGACCTCCTGACCTCTGCGGTCGAAGCGCAGGGCGCTTCGACCGGCAGGGCCGGGGCCAAGGCGGCGTGCAGAGCTCGATGGCCCGAGCGTTCAGCGTGTCGTGGGCCTTCAGCAGGGGATCGAGGCGCATCTCGGACCAGCTCGGCGTTGGACTTCCGTCCTGTCATGGAACTGCAGTGAGGGAAGTTGGCACCTGAGTTTCCACCAAGTCCATGCCCATTCCAAGAAACCTTCCATCTCACTAGTGCAGCGATGGAGCTGGGCCTGCTTCGCCTTCGTGTCTGCTCACGGCCAGTCTGGCCATCCTGAGCCTCCCAAGACCTCCCAATGAGTCGAATTCGTGTAGCTGGAAGGGTTCGGGAAGCCTTGGGTCTGTTAAGCTTTCAATGCCTGGGCCTCAGGCAAGGAAGGACATCCATCCGACTTGCTGAAGGGAGTGGTTGGTCAAAACGTCGCTGGGCAAACCCAATGCCATCAAAGCATGCGCTGTCTCGCTGAACATCTGCCACATGGTTCGACTTGCCTTCAAACGTCGCGCCAGGATGTCGAGGCCTTCGCGAAGGCGAAGCATGCGACAGGAAAGTCACTGGGAGAAGTTGTAAGCCCGACCGAAGCCCCCAGGAAAGTGTCGCCTCGGCTCTGGGGCGTCGGAAGACCAAGACACATCCACGCAGAATGCGCACCCGCATGGCCCCACGGTACCCCATCCAAAGTCCCAGCCCTGCAATCGACATTGCTTCAAATGTCAAATGACACGCTCGCAAGTCTCGACCCACTCGAGCCATCGAGGCTTGTGCCACAACTCTATATTACTCTAAGGTTCTCTGTGCTCGTGGACCTTTGATGGAGACTCCACACACACACACACATGGGCGCTGGCACGTGCACACACGCTCGCTTGCTCGCTCGCTTGCTCGCACACACAAGCACTCTGATACATCATTCTAGACCCAGGCTGACTGGGGATTTTCGGCATGGACACAGCATTCCCGGGCCACTCGGCACCCTCGGTTCCCCGGCAGCTTCACACGCAGCGTTGGCACAGACTAGCAGGAGGTTGGTGGAAGTAGGGGAGATGGCTTTACACCTTGGGGCTCGCCGTATCCCCAACTCACAAGGATCATCAACCCATGTTCCTGAAACGCAAGCACGCCAAAATCTCCGGCAACCGACTCATGATCAAGTTCCGGAGGACTTCGTTTTGTGGTTGCCTTGATAGAATCCCTCGCAAGTTGACTTTCCTTGTGAAGCCTACATGTCCACCAAGGCATTCATCATAGGCTTTTAGGCCATGTTGACAGCTTCTTGCCTCTTCCGTGGCAGCGCTCGACCTCAGGGACACAAAACCGTGCGCCAGCCCAACACCATCAACCGACCCGCTGTCAGCTTTCAAAGCGACAGCCAAATACTTTGATTGCAAGGTGTCAATGAACGAAACAAGCACACAAGCAAACAAGCAGGCAAACAAACAAACAACACAAGGTCGGTCATAGGCAACAAGTGGCATATGCATCAAAAGGCCTCTTTCTGCCAAGTTCCACGCTGTCCAGCGCGGACAGCCTCTAGAAAGGCCTGACGATGGGACTCAACAAAATGGTTGGTATTGCCGGCATGAAAAACCTTCCAAAGCACCGCTGGTCTTGACCTGCTTTATGAAACCGAATGCAAGGAATGCTTCCTTACAACAGGCTTGCAGACAAAAAAGGGAAAAACAACTCGCAGACAAAATCGCTCTGCCAGCTTGTTGCCACATTAGGTCAGGAAAGACCGCCCGTGTCGCCTAGGGTTCGGCCCACCTACATGTTTATGTCATGCAGAAGTGTCTCGCTTATGTACCGCTGAAGGGGCAATGTTCGTGTTTATCCGAGTATGGGTCAAAATTAAGCAACAGGGGACCGCGTGTTTTAGCGCTTGGTTCCATTTGGCAGGGTTCAACTTTGGGTACATGGCTGTGGCTCAAAAATATGTACTCAAAATGGCTTGCCCTGGTAAATGGAAACTTGGACTTGACTAAAACCTGCCGTCCAATTCCTGGTGGTTTAATTTTGAGGCACACCCACATATTTTTGACCCACAGCCGAATCCCATGTTTTCGCAGCACCCCGAGTCGCCTCCTTGCACAGGCGCCCACCGGAAGCTCTCACCTGAGCCCCGATCCGATGCGAAAGCTGGGGGTCGGGTGGGGGGAGGGGGCTGCCACATATGATATGGGGGTGTCCTTTTTTGGTGGTCTTCCAGGAAAACCCAGAAGGAAAACGACCGATCTCCAGATGGTGAGACAATGGTCGAAATCTATGCATGCAATGGGTGTTTGGGTGCTTTTCAAGTCGCGCCCTTTCTCAACCCGAAAAGCGGCTCCGGATGCATGTGTTTCATGCCGCGCCGGAATGTGACGAACCTTCGCCTGCCTATTCTGCCTGCCTTTCATGGCCCCGGCTGACACGGGCTTGGAGGTACAAACTCATTCTTCAGCCAGATGCCATCAAGGCTCCTATGGCTGCCAAAATGGCCATCCAAAAAATCCACAAAGATTTCGGACCCATGTTTCACAGCAAAAGGCCTGGTTTTACTATGCCATGTGCAATCGCCCATCCTGATCACTATCCTCAAGCAAAGATCTGCAAAGGCGCAGCCCGAGGGCCCGGGCCGACGCTGCTGCGACAGCCCGCGCAACGCCGGGGCCTAGCCCAAGATTGCTCAAGAAAAGAGCAACCTACTCAAGTGGAAACACAAAGTCCAATGCCACAAATGGCTCACTGTTAACTTTTGTTGAGGGCTTCCATCGCATGAGCAATGAAAGGGCGGGCAGAGTTTGATAATTTGTTGCGCTGCAGGTCTGCAACTGTCGGTCGAAGCCGGCTATATTGAACTGCGCGTATCATCCGAGCATATCCTGTGTACATTGATCGCCCCGCGGATGCAGATCCTCATTGGTTCTTCAGCTGGACAAATCAAACCGCCAAGCACGGGGTACGGTACAGCTACGCATTCCTACGGCGAAGCTTGATGCCATCAGCATCCACCCCTACTTGGCCAGCCCAAGTTCTATGCCAAAAGCAGGCTCAAGTCGGGTTTGTCCGTTCCGGCCTCGGCACCACGGCTGGCTGGCAACGTCAAAACCGAAAACGCGATCCAACAGAGTGGCGAAATAAGCAGAAACTGTCGTTCACGCAACATGTTTCCTTGGTTCCTTCTAGAGGCGTATGGGACTCGCAACACTTTTTCCAAATGCAGTGGCTGTTGGTCATGGATTCTGGGATCCGCGCGATCCCATTGTTAATGAGGTTTCGCAGGGCCGGGTTCTCCAAAGCCGCAGCAACCCGCTCCTTGTCCGCGAGCCTCACCAAAGAGAACTCCATTCGGCGAAATGCCGCCCTTAGTCCTAGTCCAAGTTTCCATTACCAGGGCAAGCCATTTTGGGTACATATTTTTCACCCACTGCCATTTGACCTGCAACCGTCTTATCCCAGACCTCTAGCCGTTGAGGACTTCGGCTGGACAACTCAGGGCTCCTGCACCCAGCCTGTTCCTTTATTCTGGAGCACGAGGTGTTTTTGTTCCGAAACTAACAATGCAGCCAAGCAGCTGCTTATTGACCTCAGGGCTGAACTCTGCGCAATATGTCTTGGACAAAGCACAGCGCACTCCCAAATGGCTGGGGATTCTGAGGGCGCAAAGCCAAGTTGGGACTTTTGAGTTTGTCCACCCTGTCTCGAAGAAAACAAAGGGAAGGGCTATCTGCGAGCGCCTTTTGGTTCTCTCTCAGCGACCTTGCGGGGTTTGCGGTTTGCCGCGCCTGGTCCTCGGTGTTGTGGGTGCCGGGGGTGATCTCTACGTCAACCTTGTAACCTCAGCTTGGTGCTGGGTCACATGGCGCACCACTTCCTGCCCAACTTGCCCAACGCCAGTTGTGAATGCAGCAAGAAAGAGAGAAAAAGAGAAAACATAAAGATAAACATACAGAAATGAGAGAGAGAGAGAGAGACAAGAGAAGGAATGAGCGAAAGAAAGAAAGAAAGAAAAAGAAAGAAAAAAGAAAGAAAAAAGAAAGAAAAAAGAAAGAAAGAAAGAAAGAAAGAAAGCGTTCCTCGGTGTCTTGAAAGAGCTGCGGGTGAATAACGTAGCGATCTTCCTTAGGTCCGAGATACCAGGGAACCTAAGATTGCTTCGCAAGAATCCAGTCTTCTTTGCACGCCTTCTGAAGACTTCCTCCAAGGCTTGAATGAGGCGGCGTCCCGCAGAACTTCAACGATCTCCCTCCTTGGCCAGTCTGAACAAGGCTGCAGAGCAAAAGGGGTATCTGCGGTAGGAATCTCAAGCAGACTATCCTCTATCTGTTGCGTCGAAGTTATCGTCCTCAGCGCCTTCTCCGTCCGCCATCGCTCAAGATGAAGCGCTCCCACGGAAACCCGAACAAATCCGATCTCCCAGAGGCCCACAAAAGCAGCAACAGCTTCCGAACTTTTCTTTCCCGAATCCCATAACGTAGGAGCTTTCGGGCGATGGCCCCAGTCAACATACTTACGAGCCTCACTCCTTTTCGGCGCCTTCTGCAGCAACTCAAGCGACACCGGAATATAAGGCTTCAGAAGCACATGAAGAGTCATTCCAAGGACATCATTCCAGTCAAGCTGATGAGCATTTGACGTGCGAAGACGTCACCATTGTCAGAATCGCCGTTCCAAATGTCTTCCAAGCCATTGTCGCGAAAGGCAAAAGCAACTGCGGCAAAGGCATCAGCCTGTAACTCTCCTTGAAGATACGCCCCAGCAATTCCTTCACGTGGGAAGCGTACTTCGATTGGCTTAGAGTCTCAGACAAGGCCTTCTTGCGACTCGAGTTAGAGACTGACTTCTCATCCAGCTTGGTCAGCTGAGTCTGAGCTCTTGCTTCTTCTACTTCATCTGTTTGCAAGCCAAAGAAGAGCTGTCCATCCATCAAGGAAGGCTTCTTTGCAGACCTCCGTCTGGATCTTTCACAGTTCGCGGGCTTGAAGCCAAGAAGACATTGTCGAGAGACCCAACCGGCTGGCCTTGCTCAAAAGCTTGCACGCAGAAGATCCTTGCTCTCTCAGGTCAGAAGGCATCCTCCGTTTCCCCTCCTTCGCCCACTACGGTCTCGAAGAGATAGCGCGCATAAAAAAAGCTTCTGGCGCGTCATCTTCGCCATGATTCGCGTCATGGACCCGGCAAGGGGCCCACTTTCTCCCTTCAATCTCATGGGAGGCCCCACAGCAGGTCGAGCGTCAGCTGGGCTGATGGTCGAAGAAGCGCTCACCTTGTCGGTTGGTCACGAGGAAGTAAGCCGTGCAAGATAATCCCTTCCCTGCAAGCTTATACCAACCTGCACAACGTAGCTCTGCGCACAAGGTCCTCACAGGCACCTGGGTGTAAAAGCGCGTCCACAAGCGGAGCTCCAAATCTCCTGCCTATTTGAGGTGCATTTAGTCTTCGGAAAGTACGAGACATGAGCACCCCGCTCCACACAGATCTCAAGGAGGTCATTCCCGCGACCTTGGACGCACGAAGTAGACCCAGTTGTTTGAGCTCCCCGTCTTGAAGGATTATATAGAACCTGTCCACCTCCTGTCGCGCCAATGGTCGGAAGCCCGCCTCTCTGCTGAACTCAGGATCGTTTTGCCGCTGAGAGGGATGCCGAGCATTGTCCTTACTGGAAACAACACACAAAGGATGACATCCTGCCGCAAGGGCTACGTTCTGGCCCACTAGCACCGAAGCATCCTCTGTTGTATGTTGAGAAGGAACCACATCTCCAGTAGTTCCTTTTCTAAGGAGAATCTTCAACATTCTTCTCCCAGATGCGGTCCTGGACAGGACCTTAAACTTTCTCTCCTGGGTGGGCCTTCCGGCTCGTTCAAGAGCAGTTGCACGTTCTGTGCCGCACTTGAGCCAACTTGGCTACGGAAACAACGACAAACATGCAAACGCGGAAACACGCGCACAAGAACGCAAGCATGCAAACAAGCAAACAAGCAAACAAACAAACACACAAACAAACAAACAAACAAACAAAACAAACAAACAAACAAACAAACAAACAAGCAAGCAAGCAAGCAAGCAAGCAAGCAAAAGAAAAACGCAAGCAAGCAAGCAAGCAAGCAAGCAAGCAAGCAAGCAAGCAAGCAAGCAAGCAGGCAAGCAGGCAGGCAAGCAGGCAAGCAGGCAAGCAGGCAAGTAACCAAGCAAACAAAAAGACAAGCAAACACGCAAACGTTCAAACGCGCAGGCTTGCAAACATGCACACAAACGTGAAAACATGCAAAGCAGAATCAATCACTCTAAGATGCCAACACACAAACAAGCAAGCAAGCAAGCAAACAGCCAACCAACCAAACAAACAAACAAACAAACAAACAGGCAAACGCAAACAAACAAGTAAGCAACAAGGGGAAAAACGTGCAACCATGCCAACCAGCAAGACAACAAACATGCAAACATGCAATTGAGCCAACAAGCAATCGAATAATCAAACAAACAAGCAAGCAAATAAGCAAACAAGCCAAAAAAAAAAAAAAACGTACAAACTTGCCAACAAGCAAAACAACAAACATGCAAACATGCCAACAAGCAAAACGACAATCATGCATACATGTTAACAAGTATTTAAATAAACCAAACAAATAAATAAGTATTTATGAAATAAATAAACAAATAAACAAACAAACAAACAAACAAACAAGGCCACGCCGCCACACGGCGCCTGGCGCGATTCAAGCGCCACACGTCCTCAACTGCTCTGGCCAAGGAATTCAGCAAACGAAAAACGGCCCAAACAGAATTGCGACAAACTAGCAAAAACTGTCCCTCATGCTGACTATCTTTGTCAAAGAAACAAACATCGACATGCAAACAATGTCATCTCAGCCATCTCATACGTTCTACAAATGTATCTGTCTCTGACTGGTACACCTTCTTTGTCAAAAAGCGCAAACCCATCAACATGCAACAAATCAGCGTGTTTATGCAGAGGTTGTGGATATGTGTGAGCGTGTTTATGTTCATTTGTGTAAGGACAGAGAACACACACAAAAAGGAACAACCAGGAGCCGTATTGCGGTGTCTGCAACAAATAAACGCGAACAGGCAAACACGCAAACATACAAACAAACAACAAAGAACAAATAGCAAAAAAGCAAACAAAACGCAAACAAACAAAACCAAACAAACAAACACGCAAACAAACAATCAATCAAACAAGCAAATCACAAACACACAAACAAGCAAACAAACAAACAAACAAACAAACAAACAAGCAAACAAGCAAACAAACAAACAAACAAAGAAACGAGCAAGCAAGCATTCAAGCAAGCAAGCAAAGAAACAAACAAACAAACAAACAAACAAACGTTCAGGCAAACGAAAATTTGATTTGTTGGATTTCGACAAAAGGGTGAACGCGCTGCGAATCCGAGTTGCGGTGAGGCAGCGAACGCAGGAGCTTTGCCTTGCGAAGGTGAAGGGAGGGGTTGGCAATCACCCAAAAACATTGTTTGAAGAGGGTGTGCCACACGATCACGGTCAAACACAGGGCGGCCCCAACCCGAAGCAGTCGCTTCGAACGTCGAGCCTTGATGGTCAGCCCGATCAGGGTTGCAACACTGCAGGTGGGCACTGTTGGCGTGAACCGCACCTAGGGCGACCCCAATCCACTGATTTGTCCGA